CACACATCCGTGACTGGTTTCAACGAAAATACATTATTTCTAGCGTAATTTTTTTTTTTTTTTTTTTTCTGACTGAGAATATGAATTTCTCAGTGATCATGAGTACAGAACCACTTCATCTGTCCTTTTAAAATAAGTAGTTTGTAAATCAATATACTTCTAGAGGAAATGTAGGTTAGAACGTATATCAAAATATTTTTTCTCTATATTCCAAGATTTCCAAAAACCCTTATTCCCTCATTTTATTTTCAGAAATTCTCATGAATTTTCAAAATTCTTTGACCCTATTAATTTGCTTTTATCTTGTCTGCATATAAAGTTCATTTTAAGTAGTTTTAAAGCCCTTCTGGCTCCATTTTTTTGTTTTATTCATTATTGGTTTATTTCCCACCACATTCCTTTGTCTTTGTCAGAAATAAAAATACCTTTGTGGGCGGGCGGAACCTGTACCACATTTTAATTATTATACTACATTGCAAAAAAGTTTAGAAATTTCTTTCAGAAAAAAGTGATTTATTAATTGTGATTATATAGAGCAAGTCACTGAAAATAATAGAAAAATCGTTGTATCGCAAAAGCTTGACAAAATTATTTTTAGGTGAATGTTTGCCTTTGAGACCAATTCGGAAACTGCAGCAGTAGCCACATTTGATGTAACCATGGTAGCCAGGCTGTTAGCAGGGCAATGGCTACTGAAGAAGATATATATATGTTTTAAATTATGAATGTTGTCAGTTGGTTTTTTGGGTACTGTCACATTGCGGTTTTTGTCCCGATAAAAGCTTATATGCCAGGCCATTAGCTCCATGAGGGGGAGTGTGTTATAAGCTTAATTCTCTTTAAATCTGGTCGTCTGGAAAAGGCTATCTGAGATCCTGTCCTGTTTGGTAGTTATATCTTAAAAATTACTCTCGTGAAGAGTTAAATATTACTCTCTCTGGAATACTTAACTTCCAGAACAATGGTGGCCTCAAATCTCCTGCATTAGAAATATTGTTTTATCTAGCAGCCTTCAGTCCCATAGTATGTTTGCTATGACTGTGTGTTTGACTTATGTTAAATTATTTTGGGGGGGGAGCTTGTGTTTTTGCTGTGCACTCTGCCAGGATGATACTAAAACCTGAACAGAATCAATAACGAAGCTAGTCTGGCTCTCAAAATATTTTAAAAGTGTGTGGGTGCAAGAAAAAGCCTTGTATAGGCTCAAAATGTGAATTTTTTTTTTTTCCCTTCAGGACAGTTTGAAGATTCTGCTTGATTAATAATTGTTACCTTAAATAGATCTAAACTTCTTTCTTACAATGTGAGGGGCGGAAGCAGGGTATTCTGGAGGAAGAGAAAAACAAAACATGAGGCTTGCATGGGGTTTGAGTTCATACAAGGAAGTGATGACATGTGCATAAAGAAATTACAGTCTTTCATTCAGCCATTTTATTGCTAATGGGAGTGTAGGCTCAGCCTGGATCCATTGTCTACAGCACTGTGTCTGTTCATTTAGCTTGGTCCTACTGATTTTCATTTGTTCCTATCTAATTCACTTTGCTTTTTCATCAAAAAAGATACAATAGATGGATAGGTCATATACACAGTTGTATGTGCATTCGTTTTGTGATTAAGGAAATGGGGGGGGGGGGGGGGGGGGAGGGCCCGCTTTCGTTAGGGGGGTGGTGCGGAGGCTGCAAAAATCTCTTTTAATTTTCTAATCATAATCTGTTATAGCAGCAAAATCAGGTTACTCAGATTACAGAAACTATCATCTCTACATTCATTAGATAATCTAGGAAGGATTACACAAAGTTGAAATAATATTACTTGCCTCTCCACTCCAGCATGTTAAAAATATCTCTTTGGGAACTGCCCTATACGTAAACCAAATATAGTAATGTATTGGTGGGCATGTTTGAAATATTATTCAAAGCAGGTGCTTGACATAACAATTATGTGAGAGCCACATTTAAAAAGAAACTTCTTTTTTAGTTTCTAGCTAAGCCTGAAGGAAAAAAAATAGAGTGGTTATGCAGAAAAATGGGAAAAAATTAGGACTTCTTTAAAAATATGTAAAATTCAACATGTGTAATTTATTGTATGACTTCTGAATTATTTTCAGTTATGTCTAGGGTATTGCAGTTACCATTAATTCACAGAAAAAAATGTGAGAGTAAGTTCATTCAAATGGATCTTGGGTATATTTTAATATTTGTATTACTTGTTCTGAAATGTTGGTGCTTGCTATCAGAAAGCAAGACTATGTGGCATTTCTTGTATTTATTTACATGGATGATTTTTTTTTCTCGAGAACAAGAACATCTCTAAGGGATATATAATATATATGGTAATAATATATAATAACTGTAATACTATATAATTGTAATTAATATAGTAATTGTAAAATGATATTTGTTAAATAAATGGCTGTGCTAAAACAAACATTTTAGCTATTACTAAAACTTCTAAACATAGACATTTGCATGTAAAATATAATTCATTTTCAGTCTGTGCATTAAAATTCTGAAGAGAGAGAATAACATTTAAACTCTTTAAGTAGCTTGATGACTGATTTTATGGTGCTTGTCTCCTAGAAATGTTACTTTTATACGGCTCAGAACTTCTGACAGACCAGGAAGGCTGAAAGGTTTGCATTTTACCTAATTAGTAAAGACGTTGCCCTTATTTTTAATGCAAGGGCATTTTATTCAACTACTATTAAACTTTTTCCTGAGATAAGATCAGAAAAAGGTATTCATTACTTCTCAATCCACAAGAATTTACTGATAATTAAGTTTTTATGGTAATAAAATGGAAGTAGAAAATGTAATGTTAAGAGAATTGTCTGAGAAAATGTAATATACTGTATGTTTCGTTAGATTTGAAAAGTTGAGAGGCTAGTACTTAATGTTTTGTTGACGCTAGCAAGGCTAGTAGGTGGGCGACTGTAAGATGATGACTGCCATGTTTCAATCTTGTTTAATATATCACTTTCTATGCTTAGAGTGCACAATAAGCACTAAAATCGCATCATGATAGTAAAATGTAACATGCTTCTAGCTTGTGTAGATTCTGTAGAGGATACCCAGTTAATTTAATATTATCATGAAGGATAATATTAATTTTTTATAATGATTTTCCCTAATGGCATTTGAAATATTTCTCTTTGTTGATTCAGTCTTGCTAAGTCATTGTCTTATAGATGTGTTTGGTAATGGAGGTAATTTCTCCAGGAAGATCCGTGGGCATGATAAATAGGAATTTGGAAAATGTGTTTCCATCACATGGAGGGAATCAACAAATTATAAAAAAAATATTTTAGTTATAAAGATTATCTAGTGCAGGGTAGGCAACCTTGCGATCTTTTAGACTCGTGGAATCAACCCCAGAATTCCTGAGGCAACCATGCTGGCTCAGGAAATTCTGGGAGTTGAAGTCCACGATCATAAAGAGCCAAGGTTGCCTACCGGATCTCGTGTGTTGAAACTTTAATATTATCAAATTAACATTATTTTGTTTTAATCTCCCTTAATACTAAAATTTTATATAATTTTGTAGCCAGAGGATTGTAAAGATAGCAAAAATACTTTGAATTTGAACCATTTAAAAACTGGAAATCCATGTTTCCTTGGGAAGATTTTTTTTTAATTGTTTTGGAAGTTGTGCTTAAAGCAGTTTTGTTTAAACTTAACAGAAAAAGGTGATCGAAAACAGTTGTTTCCCTTTGAAGTACGGGGGTTCAGATTTAATACAAATCTAAATATTTTGTACATTCTCCGGTTCTCTTATTTTCTACTAATTTTTTTCTACCTGGTTTTATTAACCTTTGCTACAGCATGATGCAACTCAGTTATTTGTTAAACCACCAGGGTCTTTTTAAAGAGAAAAAAGCGGTATAAATAGAATACAATAGATACCTTTATTATTATTATTTTTTTACTGGGGCACATTTGGCACACATTAAAAATGAAATTTTGTTGCTTGCTCAAGACAATATCCCAAACAAAGAAAGCAAACAAAACATGAACATATTTTGACATTATGAAAATTATTGATATATGTTCCCTTTCCTTAATTTTATCTTTCAAACCTGGAGATTAGATAGGCCTGGCAGAAACTGGTTCAGCTTCAAGATATGCAGGATTATGAATTATTTCAGGCTTGTGGAGTATTTTAACTGATAAGCACATGTTATTCTCAAAAAGGACACACAATTGCGTTGTTTACCAACTAGCCATAACATTTGCTTGTTGTTGTTTTAAACTGGCTCGTGATATCTAATAGGTGCTAAAATAAACAACATTAATTTGAGCTGACAAATTTGGGATTTTAGTGGGCATTATCAAGGGATTTGACAATAATTACTTTCTTCTCTTCCACACTTAACTATACATTATCACAAGGTCATGGTCCAAGGTTAATTACTATAATTCATTTGAACGGTTAAAAAGAAAGATGTCCAACCCTCACAGTCAGGCAAACAAGAAAATCTTGGTCCTGTACATTGTGGACATTCTGCTCTCACTTCAACAAGCTGCATCACCATGCTGACAAAAATTATGCATCCGGTTTTAAAGGGTAAATGAAGATTACAAAAAACTATTCTCTTACAATAAAAGGAAATGTCAGTACTAATGAGTCCTGCAATGAAGTTGAAAAGATACAGACAAATCAAATCTTTCCATAATTTAACACTGGATTCTGAGGTTGAATCGGTGTAATTCTATTGCAGTGGTTATCATACCTTTTCAAGCTGCGACCCCCAACTGGTAGTAAGTCGAGGAATACTCAACCGGTTGTAAGTCGAGGACTACTCAACTGCGTGCAGCACATTTGCAGACTGGGACTTTTGGCGGGCTCAGCAGGGCAGAGACAGCCTGGACAATTCCTATTGGCTTTTGAAAGCCAATAGAATTAGACTCTATTCAAGAGAGTCTATTCTATTGGCTTTCAAAAGCCAATAGAATAAAAGGGAGTAGCACAGCTAAGGAAAAGGGGGAAAAATGGCGGACTGCGTTAAATGGTTGTTCGACCCCAAATGGGGTCCCAACCCACAGGTTGAGAACCACTGTTCTATTGTGACTGCTACTTCTATTAGAGGCCAGGTCATCTTCAATAGTAATGAGTACTTTGTCAGTGATGGCTCCATGTTAATGGAAGTTACAAAGCATGAATTGCAATATGCTCTAATAAATTTGCAATTTTCCCTAATGTGCACTTTTTAGAAACACAAGTACTTTTAATATATCTGCAATTACTAGTAATCTATAACTGACTTTTGTTAATATCAAAAAGTTAGGTAGGATTAGAAATGGTTAGGAATTGGATGGGAGACCTGTTAGGAAATCCCAGAGCCACAGATTAGATTGGGATGTCAAAAAACATTAACATCCTGGATAAAGAAAATGCAATATATCTATATTGTTTCAATAAACATCATGGGTAAATTGGTAGGAATTGACATGGCGGAGTTTGCCAATCATGTGGTAGGTGTAACTAATCCAAGACACCCAATTAACCAGGAGGCAAATTGATAAGCTTGTTCATCATTCTCTTTCTTACCATACTTAAATGTTTTTTTATTTTAAGGATAGGTGGCCCATCCCCAAATATCTAGGTTGCCCTGTCTGGGACATATGAAGAGAAAATAAAGAACAAAAGATGGTGCTGTGCTGCATGCCAGGATTCCTTTTCAGGGTGAGTCTTTTTAAAACAAAACAAAACAAAACAAAACAAAACAAAACAAAAATATGGTCAGATGGGCAGTATTGAAGGTGTATATTTTATTTATTTATTTATGAGACTTATATACCGCTTTAAGTGCAAGCACTCTGTAAGCGGTGTACACCAGTAAGCAATGTATATATATATTTACATTGCCCCCAACAATCTGGGTCCTCATTTTACCTACCTCGGAAGGATGGAAGGCTGAGTCAACCTTGAGCCGGTGAGATTTGAACCGCTGACCTGCTGAACACAGTCAGCTAAAGTGGCCTGCAGTACTGCACTCTAACTGCTGCGCCACCTTGGTATATACTGCCCATGTCTTATTTATTTGTCATTTTATTGTTGAAAGTGTAATTCATGGAAGTGACTGTTCAGCACCTCGTGACCTACTGACTATAAGAGGACATTGAGGTGTTGGTAGAGTGCTAAAGATTTACTCTGTGTCCATTCTTTGTCTACTCTTCTGCCTGCTCTTTCTGTCTGACTGCTTCTTTTTACACACATACATGGAGCACACATTCTTTGATTGTCCACTTGATAAGATGCAGCTAGCTAAGTGCTAATCTTTGATTATCTTTATGATGTATTTCCTGTAAATACTGTACATCTTTCCATTATATTTAAAAAGTCCTTTCTTTAATTCTTGTTCAGGTCAGACTCCTATTCTCAGAATCATTCATGTGCACCAAAAGAATACTTCCACTTTCAACCTAGATAGAAATAGCAGTTCTTCAAATCTACAGCACGACTGACCCAGATTTTAAACTCAAGGCCTAAATTATGACGCAGGAGTCATCTGAGCACTACAGCCCCAGCACTCAAGATTTGACTAAAGCCAATTCCACAGCAAAGGTACTAACGTAATACAGTGCTTAATTTTTAGGTGCTGCTACTGCTGCTGAAAGCAAAAAATAAAAATAAAAATAGATTTTTGGTTTTTCTCTTGTGAAGGAAAATTACTAGCCTTGTTTTGAGTAGCAGAGTATGACTGTTTACAAACTCAGTGCTTGTTGAAATAGAAAAGCTGCTCCGATGAAGGAAAATGTGTAAGAGGTTGGAGAAGAAGGTTAATAGAGAAATGCAGTTTCCAGAAGACAATTAAGAGAAACTTACAGAAAAATCTTTTGTTGGAACACTCTCTCTGTTGCCCTGCCCTTGACACAGCTCACTGCCAAGGCAGAAAAGGCAACTGGTTCCTGAATTTGGAAATTTGTCCTCAGTGGGAAGAAAGGGAACCAGAGACTACACAAGAAAGAAGCTGCTTATTTAGTGAGCAGAGAAGATAGCCTGAATGAAGGAAGATCGATTACCGATGCAACAAATATATAAGCATGGCTTAAGCCAGTGATGGCGAACCTTTTAGAGACCGAGTGCCCAAACTGCAACCCAAATCCCACTTATTTATCGCAAAGTGCCAGGGCTGCATCAGCATTGTGGTGACCTCAGGGGGGGCGTGGTCCACTGGGTGGGTGTGACTGCAGTGATCATGGCAGACTGGGTGAGCATGGCCAGGGCCAGTCCCTCGCCATCTCCGGGGCATCCCCAGGGGGCCAATGCCGCTTGCTCGTTCACTTCCTGCCCTGTTGCTTCCAAACGCAACATGCTCGCTACTCTGGCGAACTCTGCTGGGGCAACAGCGTGCATGCCCATAGAGAGGGCTCTGAGAGCTGCCTCTGGCACATGTGCCATAGGTTCACCACCACTGGCTTAAACCCATGTCAAAATCTCTCAGACAGCGCAGGTGATTTGAATGACCCCCTCTTCCCTATTATGTTCACCTGGCCCACTAGAGCTGGAAGGCAGGACATGCTTCAGATCCCATCAATTATATATTGTCATCTGATGGGAACTACGAAAAAGGGCCTTCTTGGTGCTGTCCCCTTTTGTTATGGAACATCAACACTCTCCCCCTCCTGTTCCTTTTCCAAAAGGCCCTAAAAATGTGGCTTTGTCAGTAGGCCTGGGCACTGCAAATGAAAATAGAGCTGATCAAGAGGCTCATCTAATTGTATTGTTGCAGCCATGGGGGGGGGGGGGCGGAGCTTTAAAATTTTTAAGTACAGGTAGTCCTCGACTTATGACCACAACTGAACCCAAAATTTCTGTTAAGGAAGACAATTAAATCAATTTTGCCCCATTTTACGACCTTTCTTGCCACAGTGAATCACTCTCATGTCAAGTGAATCACTGCAGGTAGTAATGCAGTTGTTAAGTGAACCAAACTTCCCCATTGATTTTGCTTTTCAAAAGGTTGCAAAAGGCGATCACATTACCTGGGGACACAGCAACAGTCACAAGTATGAAGCATCTGAATTTTGATCACGTGACCATGGGAATGCCACAAAGGTCGTAAATGTGAAAAATTGTCATAATTCATTTTTTTCCAGTGCTATTGTAACTTTGAACAGTCATTAAATGAACTGTTGTAAGTCGAGGTCTACCTGTACTGTAAGGTGCCCGGAGTCACCTATGTGTGAGTTGAGTGGCTATATAAATTTGTGATAGGTAGGTAGGTAGATAGATAGATAGATAAATAGATAGGTAGGTAGGTAGGCAGGCAGGCAGGCAGGCAGGCAGACAGACAGATGAAGGAAGGAAGGAAGGAAGAAAGAAAAGAAAAAAGAAAAAAAAGGAAAAGAAAAGAAAAAAGAAAAAGAAAGGAGTGGTATGAAATGTCTGAAATGGTATAGGGTTTCTTGCCTGGTTGGACTATACCAGTGGTGGCGAACCTATGGCACGCATGCCAGAGGCGGCACTCAGAGCCCTCTCTGTGGGCACGCACGCCATGCCCCTGAGATGGCAACCGTCCCTCTTCAACCAGCCGCCTGCTAACTCGCCGAGGTCCCACATGGCCAGATGCATCCCAGAACCCATGTGCTTGCTGGCCTCTGTGTGCAGGGGCTGATGGTATCAGGCAGCAGCCACCCTGGCCCCTGCCTCACCTTGCCCTGTGACAATGGCACCCCCCCCCGCCTCGCCTTGCCTCACCTTACCCTGCAGAATGAGCCTCCTGCCCACTGCCCCACCTGTCAGAGACCCCCTGGATCTCCCCCAACCCTGCCCAGCCCCCACAGGTGTCCCTCCCCACGAGCAACATCAAGGTGATCACGCCCACCTTGGCCACATCCAACCAATCTGCCATGACCACCACAGCCACGCCCACCCTGTGGGCCATGACCACCTGGTACCCGGCAATAAATAAGTTGGTTTTGGGTTGCAGTTTGGACACTCGGTCTCTAAAAGGTTCGCCATCCCTGGACTAGACCTTCAAAGTCCTTCCAACTCTGTTATTCTATTTCAGGGGTGTCGAACTGCTGGCCCGTGGGCTGGTTGCATCATACGGAGGCTGCACCCCCAGCTCCGGCAATGCAAAAAAAAGTTGTGATATGTTACGACACGTCATGTGACACGGTGAGTTTGACACCCGTGTTCTATTTTATTCTAAAGAAAAGGAAAGTTCATGTGAAAATAAAACAGGGGAGGGGGAAGCACATTCCGACTTGGAAGATTTTGTTACATTTTAATAAAAGTGATTTTAGGACTATGAGACCTACCTTGCAGGGCTGACAGCTTGTATGGACACAATGGAGGCTGGAAAGAGACTAGGAGAGCAGTCTCCTTGCTTAGGCATTTCATTTTGAACATGACAGTTCTTGATTTGGACTGCTGAGGCTCCAAAGGGTCTTTTTTTGTGCTTTTGTTTTCAAATCCTGTCCCTGAATGTTCAAGGGATAAAGAGAATAAACTTCAAGTTCTCTGCACTGGATTTAGAGAATCCAGTGTTTGCTTTCTGTTACTCTCTAGTCAGCTCTCCACCTCTCTATTTACAAGGGTCTCTGCCATGGCTCTTTGCTCTAGAACAGGAGTCTCCAAACTTGGCAACCTTAACACTTGTGAACTCCAACTCCCAGAATTCCCTGGCCAGCATGGCACGGTCAGGGAATTCCGGAAGTTGAAGTCCACAAGTCTTAAAATTGCCAATTTTGGAGACCCTTGCTCTAAAGCAGTGTTTTTCAGCCTCCACAATCTTAAGTTGTGGCTGGCTAGGGCAGTGGTTCTCAACCTGTGGGTCGGGATCCCATTTGGGGTCGAACGACCATTTCATGGGGGTCGCCAAACAACGCAGTCCGCCATTTTTTCCCCCTTTTCCTTAGCTGTGCTACTCCCTTTTATTCTATTGGCTTTTGAAAGCCAATAGAATAGACTCTCTTGAATAGAGTCTAATTCTATTGGCTTTCAAAAGCCAATAGGAATTGTCCAGGCTGTCTCTGCCCTGCTGAGCCCACCAAAAGTCCCATTCTGCAAACGGTGCTGCACCAGTTGAGTAGTCCTCGACTTACGACCGGTTGAGTAGTCCTCGACTTATGACCGGTTGGGGGTCGTGGCATTAAAAAGGTTGAAAACCACTGGGCTAGGGAATTCTGGGAGTTGAAGTCCACATCTTAAAGTTGCTAAGGGTGAGCAATTCAGAGCTATTACCAATTCCTTACAAAATCTTGTCCTTGGCTGGGGGGAAGAGAAATGTTGCTGTGTTTTTTTTTTTTTATAGTTCAGCTATGAGTCAGCGGAACATCCTGATTTTGTTGGCTGAACTAAAACTTGAAATGTTCCCCCCCCCCAGGTTTTTCTGCAATTCTGCAATAAATGTATTGTTTAGAATATTACCCTTCATGGGCTTTGTCTGAGGTTCTCTGGAGACAACAGACGAAAACAACAGAATTGGAAGGAAGAATGGTTAGAAGCATGTGAAGGTAGACAAATGCTTTTGGATAACCTGTGCCCTTCTCAATATCCCTAACCCATATAGGTTCTGCTGATTTGAGCTGGAATCCAACACTATGTGGAGGACTAAAGTTCTTCACCACTCTCCATTCATCATCCTTCATATTTATGCCTGTTTGCTGGGATTTCCTTCTGAGTAAACTTGTTAGAATGATGTTATGATGCTTAAACTCAGGCTGTTGCTGACTGGTGAAATTCCCATATGATGTCAAGGGGAGGCAAGCTTTGGAGATACTGAAATAATATTTGTCGTTTTTTGCCCCCAAATATCGGATAATCAAGAAAGCAATGTCTTGGCTGAAGCAAACCAGAATTATTAATCATGACCTTAACTGAAATTTCCCTCAGTTTTTGCTGACACTGTCTTTCCCCAAAGACATGGGCACATTTTGGATATTGCAAAGTTTGGGCTGTAACGTTTTTTTCCCCTTGGGTGCTAGATTTTCAACTTTTCTAATTTGGAGAGGGCCACGACAGGCAAGTGTAGATATTACATCAATATCCTCTGCTATGTTTTGTGCGCTGTAAATACAGGTCTGCTTGACACTCCTAGGGGGATTTCAGTCCTTCCCATTTCCAGGCAATTATGATATGTAATAGAATTAGATTAAAGTTAATATAATGGCTAGCATAAATTACACAGAGGGGTGGTTACAGGCTACTGTACGTATCCAGTGAGAAACGGGTCACGAAGAGATGGTTCCTTTTGAGTGTTTAGAATATCCCAGACCTTTGATACTTTATGAAACTCATTTGTTGTGATCTGCTGCTAGCTCTTATCCGTCTTTAGGAATACTTGGAAATATAACATGTTGTTTATATCTCAAACATTGTATAGCAGAACAACATGAGGTATGGTCATAGCAAACAGGCCATTGTAGCAAATTAAATGATTTCACAGAAAATGTATGTTTGCTTTGCATATGTGGCTTAGGCCTGAGAGTATTTATACATAAATATCAGAAAGCAGGAACATAAATCTCAAAGATTTATGAAACTGATTGTACCAATAAAGGAGAATATTTGTAGCTCAGGGTTGAAATGAGGGATCTTTGGTGTTCTCTGAGCTTGATCATTTTCCTGCAGACATTTTATTACCAAACTAGGTAACATCATTACTATAGTGCTAGTAAGGAGTAATATAAGCTGAAACAAACCCCACTCTTTACTAGCACTAATGATATTACCTAGTTGGGGTAGTGAAATGTCTGTAAGAAAACAATCAAACCCAGAGAATACCAAGGACCCCTAAATTGATTGTTAATGAGAGGGGGGAGAGGGAGAGAGAGAGGGGGAGGGAGACAAGAGAGAGAATATTAAGGAGAGATACAAAGGGATGAGAGATTGTCAGTTCTGGATGGACCACTATTGGGTAGGTGACAAAAATGTATTGGAAGAGAAGGATGAAGGAAATGTAATGAGAATAAAAGTAGAATGAAAGCAGGACAAGAAAGCACAACTCTTGTTCTGTTGAGGGTCCTCCATCTCATGACAGAATTAATGAAAATGGACTCAGGGAAAGAGGATATGGGAATTAGAACAGTGAAAAGATTTGTGTGATACAAGTGTGTATGTGGAGTTTTGTAAAAAAAAAAAGCTGCTTATTGAAATGATGCATCAGAAGAGGCTTTTGATGATGAAAAACCGCATACAAGACATGGGTGCTAATGAAGGGAAATAAAGATTTTGCAAAATATCTATGAAGAATGAGTTGCAAATAATGTAGTTGATTAGCACAAACATATTTTGGAAATGAGTAAAAAGGACTACAGAAGGAGCCCAAAGAGAGTTAATGGAATTAAAAATAAGAGCAATCAGATGTTTTGGGATGAAATTGAAGTGATGGAAGGAGTACCGTATTTCAAAAATTTGTATAGGAATGATAAAAATTGCAGAAATACTAAAATATATGTGGCTTGTGCAACTGGCTGTGCAACTCATTTAACAGAAGTGAAAGTTGTTTCTGCACCTGATGAAAAATGCCTTTTTTCCATGTTACCAGTTCTCAATTTTTACAATACAATCAATTCTCTGCAATAATAAAATGAATTTTTACAACCTATCTGTGAATAAAATTAATGATTTCACTGAGTAGAGTGTTTAGGCCATAAATAAACGCACTATTTACGTTAATAATTAAATGTAAATTTATATATCATGTAAAAGAATCTTACAACTTCAGCCTTACAACTTCATAAACCTCATTGGAAATAAGCAATCGAAAAATCCTTGAAAAAATTTAAATAAATATTTTAATGGTAAGGGGGAAGTTACTTTTGCAATTTCCTGAAATCTAGCCATCATTTTCAAGACACACCCTATCATTTTATAAAAGCAATGGGAAAAAAAAGAAAATAAAAAGGTGTTTCTTTGATACAGATTAAATGTTCTTCAACTACTCTTAAATTAGTTGCAGTTTGCAAAAAAATGGCAGGTTGTAAATTAGTCGTGGCACCCTTTCTTCCAGCACCACACATTCACTACACTCTTTGTAAGCAATTTATTTACAGAGGAAGCATCAGATCAAATGGTCAGAGCTTTGAAAGGATCCAGATAAGTATCCTTTCTGAAAAGTAAATTCCAGAGTGCTAATTTTCCCACAAAGACTACTCAAACTTTATGAGGGATCTGGAACTTTCCGAGCATTCCTTTCCACAAAACATACTTTGCACTGAACTGGTTAAGCTACTTGAAAAACAGTGTGAGAGAGACACTTTTGGGCAACTCTCCACCCATTGGCTTGTGACACACACCACTTCGTGGTTATGACTCACATTGTACTATACTAAGGGAAGGGGTGCAAGGGTAAAAGCAAAAACTGTAAGGAGATGTAGATTTATCTAAGAAAGTGTTTGGCAGAATTCTGATTGAAAAGGTGCAAAAGATAGTAAGCAAAATTTGTGAAGGGTAGTTTATGTTGGGCAGACCAACGTTCTCTTTGGCAAGTTATTGAGGAATGTACAAATGTGAAAAAGAATATTTATTGTATATTAACCGATTCAAAAAAAATACTGGTATATAATAAAGTGAACAGGCTTTAAATGAATCGTATCTTTCATTTCTTAGGCCTATCACTTTCTACTTTTTCTGCACTACTTTTTCTTTTCTGTGTAAAACTACTTCTAGCCTGAATAGTGTGGTGGGTATGTATGCATGTTCATATCAATGTTTCTAAGTTTTTTCTTTAGTATTGCCAGGTATTAAGGAAACTCTTTATTTTATTTGGCTTCCTTTCAGTTTCTATTTTTATTTTAGGTTTAACCCTTTTGATATCTTCTCTCTTTAATATCACAAGAAATACAATTTATTTAAAAAGTTGACCCTCCCAAGACAATAGAAAACTCAGAAGATCCCTGTCTGGAATTTATAATAAAAAGCTGGAAAGCAAAAGGTACTTTGTAACTTTAGTGTTTTTTTTTTCAGTTATTTGTTATTTCCAATTATTTATTATTAGTTATTCAAAAAGTAAAATCCTTCTTTCTTATTCTGGAACAATTATAATTGTAATTATAACTGGTTATGTTGAATTTCTTTTCCTTTTCTTTCTAAATTTATCAACTTTGCACTCATAAGCTACTTTTTGTCTTTTTACTAGCATGCAGTATTTCTTATAGGAAAATTCCTGCCTGGGTGTTTTCAATCCTCCTTCTACTTCTTACTGACATCTTTTATTCCTTTTTTTATTTCAGTGTTGACTTTTAAAGACAATATACCAGACCATGTGCTCTGGCAGATGTGGACTCTTTTTTTCATCTAATGATCAGGTTAGTTTCCGAATTGGGAATTTTGATATGCATACAGTATATATCATATTAAAGACATCCTACTTTTTAACTTTTGATATATATAATATAAAGACTATTTAGCCAAGTCGAGAGTTGTTACAAGGGGATGCCTTTTTCTGTCCCAACAATCCTGTTGCAAATTAGTGGTTTCTTATTGTTAATGAAAACAGGGAAATGGCAATCTGCAGCAATTGTCCAGTTAAAAATTCTCTTGTGCAGTAGCTACCTAAACAATGGCAACAGGGCATCTCATGTGATTTAAAGCAATATATGACTGTAATTTGCTTACCTGGATACCAGTTTTACAGTGAGTGTGCATTTGCGTGTACATATGTTAAAATGCAAAACTACCGATGCTGTAGTTTTGGTTTTAGAAAGGCTGTTAGAGCTATTTCATTGATGGCTGTTCCCTATATGTTTGAAGAGAAGTGCATAAGCCTACTTTGAGCAATCTAAGTTGCCTTGAGTAATTGTATAAGTAGAAAGAATGGGTATAAATGTTAAAAATAGATGACAAATTAAAAAAAACCCTCCTGGAAAAGGTCTCCTCATTCTTATGTTTGCCTTGAGATAGGTAAACATATTCTTGTAAATAGAAAAGCTGGTAACAGTTATATGGGCAGGCATTCAGATAGGTACTTCCCTCCTCATTTAGAGATTGTTAATTAGCAATTTTGCAATCTTCAGTTCAGGAAGTAAATGCATCCAATAGTCATAATTATTGTCTGATCAGATTTTAGCCAAATTTGACAGACCAAGGTAGTATGTTGTCCTGTTAGTCAAGACCAAATCATGGTTTCCGTGTAAGATTTAGGGCAAAGGCTGAATATCCAACAAGTTAGTTTGTAGACCAGAATCCAAATTAGAATCAATATTAGAAAATCTTGCCTTTTGGAAGTATACTGCTTCAATTCTTGGATTTTGCTCTAGGTCAGCTTACCAGGATAATTCCGCCTCTTGGAACTGCATTGAACAAGTAAACTGGGAAGTTACAATCTCCTCTAAGTAACTGTCAGTAAGATCCAGGTGAAGGATAAGATACCACAGGCTGAGATGGTGGTTACAGAAATTGAAAAAATAAATATGTCAGTGGGGAGATTTGTTGTTTTAAAATCTTGACTCTACTCTGAAGATATCTTAACTAAGCATAAAATGAGTCATTGAATGAAAGAGAAGGATGATTGCATTCTCTCCACACTGCTTTTTTTAAAAATAATAATAATAATTATCTTCCATTCTTAGCAGAAGGCTGTAGCCTTAAGCAAGAGACTGTGGCTGAATCGGGATGAGGTGTCTTTAAAAATTCTAACAGGGAAAACCCTGCATTTTTGGGAAAGAGTCTCTGCTATCCTAAACATTGTCTGAACATTATATGGCTTATTAAAAAGAAGACAGATTCTTTTAAACCTTGGTAAAGTAGACAGGAAGTGATATGTATCCAAATCTATATGCTTGGAGTGACAGTTTAGGACAGGGGTCTTCAAACTTGGCCCTTTTATGACTTGTGGACTTCAACGCCCAGAATTCCTCAGCTAGCGTGCCTGGCTGATGAATTCTGGGAGTTGAAGTCCACAAGTCATAAAAGGGCCAAGTTTGAAGACCCCTGGTTTAGGAGCTTGCTTAGTACAGTTATTACTGCTTTCTGGTGTGTAAGATTCCTAGCAAAACAGGCTATTTAGAGCAGTGGTTCTCAACCTTTTTAATGCCGCGACCCCCAACTGGTCGTAAGTCAAAAACTACTCAACCGGTCGTAAGTCGAGGACTACTCAACTGGTGCAGCACCATTTGCAGAATGGGACTTTTGGTAGGCTCAGCAGGGCAGAGACAGCCTGGACAATTCCTATTGGCTTTTGAAAGCCAATAGAATTAGACTCTATTCAAGAGAGTCTATTCTATTGGCTTTCAAAAGCCAATAGAATAAAAGGGAGTAGCACAGCTAAGGAAAAGGGGGAAAAATGGCGGACTGCGTTGTTTGGCGACCCCCGTGAAATGGTTGTTCGACGCCAAATGGGGTCCCGACCCACAGATTGAGAACCACTGATTTAGAGAATAGACAGCAGAGCCCAGTTCTTCTGAAGTGCTCCAATGCCATAAGACTGATTTTTAGTAAAGGATCTAGCACTGTTAGGTATTGTGACATGGCAATTAGTAGCGCCCGGCAGCGTCTGAGTCTAAGACAACTTAGATTTGCTCAAAGCAGACTTATGCCCTTCTCTTCAACCTTGTTCTGTAGGGAGCAGCCATGATTGAAATAGCTCTAACAGCCTTTCTAAAACCAAACCTACAGTATCAGTATTTTGCATGTTAACATGCACACACACAAATGCACACTCACTGTAAAACTGGTATCCAGGTAAGCAAGCTGCAGACATATATATGGCTTTAAACCATGAGATGCCCCCTTGCCGTTGCTTAGGTAGGTACTGCACATGAGAAGTTTTAACTGGACAAAGTCTGAATACTTTCGCATTCCTATCAGACAATTGCTGCAGACTGCCATTTCCCTGACACAGAGTTTCCTTATCAAGTTGAGATTGGATGTTAATTAGGGAAATAAAAATGGCCACAATGGTGGAACCTGTAAGTAGATGAAGCTCTCCCAAAATCTTTGGGATGGCCTCTAAAGGGTTATGATCTTGTGATCTTTCTTAAACCTCATTTGGAGAGGAAGTAGAGTCTTCTTTTTTCAAGCTAGCAAGCTTGTTCTTAAGTAAAGGAGTACCTCACAGCTCTGTGACATTTTTTTTGTTGTCGTTTCCCTACCTTGTTTTCTTATTTCTTGTTTTTTGTTGCACTGTTGAATGCTGTCTGAGCTATTTCTCAGTCACTTCTTTCCTTTCTGAAAGTAATCTGCAATCTGTTTTAATTCTTGGTTTGACTCAGATTTTGCTTCCTTTGTCGTGGAATTCTCAGCTTGTACTATGTACTGCAGTTCCACTGCTCTTCATTCCCCCTTCCTCTTCTCTTTGCCAAAATCTCAGCTGATCCAGTTGACCCTTTTTCCTTGGCTTTAATCCATATTTGTGGCTCTGCTAGAAAGAGAGCTGATAGCCGCACACTGAGGAACATCCAATGGCTATAGAGTCATCTTTTAAAAACACCCCAAACTGCTTCCCATCTGGTGATTATCTAAATCAGGAGTGTCCAACACTGGCAACTTTAAGACTTGTGAACGTCAACTCCCAGAATTCCCCAGCCAGTGATGCCAAGGTTGGACACCCGTGATCTAATATAAGGGTCAGCAAACATTTTTTGGAAAGGACCAGTTCCTGCCCCGCCTCCACATCCACAGGCGCTGATTAAAATGCCAGCACTGCACAGAACAAACTATTATTTGGCCTGGAAACTTGGCTGAGACATGAGCCTGGTGATCTACCATACTCCCCTCGGGGCTGAATATCAAAAGGTTAGCACTGTAGCTTAATTGATTTAAAGCAAAGTACAGGGCTGGAGCCACACCTGGGCTTTCTGAGCAGCGCTCAAAAAGCTAAGCAGGGTCAGACCTAGTTAATAGATGAATGGAAGACCACCAGAGAAATCCGAAGGTTATATAGACTAGTTTGGAAAACTGAACATCCCCAAAGAAAGCAGTGGAAAACATTTTCATATTGTCCCTGTAGGTTTCTTGGCAACAAGACACCAGGAGGTAGCTCAGGGCATGCTTGGAAGGCTGGGCTGTCATGAGAGGCAGACCAATGTGCGGGCATTATGTGGGAGTTAAAATTGAGCAACTCTCAGATCCTGCTTGAGCACAATGGTCATTTCTGATTTCCTGTACACACCTACTTTTAGCAGCTCTTCTGTGCTAAATGTTCTTCTGCCCAGCTGAGCCTTCTTCTGCTTCCTTACATGTCATACTCAGAAGCAGAGGCATTTCCGAAGGTGGAAGAGACTCAAGAGTCCAAGGTCTGAGTCACAAACCAGACCCGAGGCACTCTTAATGCTGTTGTTAGGGCTATGATTCTCTGTGTCTCCCCCTGGATGGCTTTATCTCAATCCTTCTCCTCATCTTCTGATGGGTCCTCAGTTCAGGTGAAGAAATCACAGCATATGGCATAGATAGACTTAATCCTATTTGGCTTTCCAACCCTACTGTTATTTTCATTTTGAAGCAATGAGTTCCAATATCTCAGGGGCTGCCACAAAGAAGAGGGAGTCAAGCTATTCTTCAAAGCACGTGAAGGTATGACAAGAAGCAATGGATGGAAACTAATCAAGGAAAGAAGCAACCTAGAACTAAGGAGAAACTTCCTGACAGAACAATTAACCAGTGGAACAACCTGCCTCCAGAAGGAGTGAATGCTCCAACACTGGAAGTTTTTAAGAAGAGACTGGACAGCCATTTGTCTGAAATGGTATAGGGTTTCCTGCCTGAGCAGGGGGGGGGTTGGACTAGATGACCTCCAAGGTCCCTTCCAACTACTACTACTTCTTCTTCTTCTTCTTCTTCTTCTTCTTCTTCTTCTTCTTCTTCTTCTTCTTCTTCTTCTTCTTCTTCTTCTTATTATTATTATTATTATTATTATTATTATTATTATTATTATTATTATTATTATTATTATTATTCTACTGACCAGCTTTTGCCTCAATTCTCTCTAGAGGTTAAAAATAGAATAATTCATCCAGAAAGCATTGAGATTTCCAAAAAGATACTATAGCCTGTTAATTGTCATTTAAAATGTTACAGAAAATAGCATCATTATTTTCCACTGACAAGTTATAATCTAGCCTCCCCCATATCTTTTAAGACTACAATTCCCAGGTATTTATGCATCACATTATAGTCTCTGATTTACAAAGGCTGTGTGGCATGTCAGATTAGAAGGCAAAAAGATATTCTAGAGCGTACAGGGGTATCAGTGTAGCCAATGTCTACAGCTCCTTAATTCAAACCAGTTTTATTTTGGGATTGCACAGAACCCCTGCCAAGAACAGCTGCCAGAAACCCAGCATAAGCAGCAGCTGCCAGAAACCCAGCATTTTCAGGAATTAACAGCACTCTTATGTGCTCAAAAGCACTTCTGTTGCTTTTGAATACTGAATCTTATACTGTCATATAATATACCAAGAGAAGATGAACACACTATGTTCCCTTGCATCTTCCTGCCAAGAAAATATATATATGTGTGTGTGTGTGTGTGTGTATCTTGGTTTAAGGAATGTAGCAGTGATGTTGATGATGTAGCAATAGTAGTAAAAGTGGAAAGTTTTGTTTTGTTTTTTCCCAATGTAGGTTCTTTTACTTTGATGATCCCAAATGAGACTTGTTACTTGTTGGGACTTGTTACTTGTTACTCATTTACCACTTACATGTGGTACTCTCTAGCAGAGGCATTCCTACTGTTCTGGCCGGAGAATGGGAAGGGCCCTAAATTTGATGCTTTTATCCGTCTGCTGCCCAAAGCCACAGACCTGGTAGTGGGCCATCTAAAGTCATTATCATTAAGGAGGGAGTGAGGACATTTCAGGAGCAGATTCAAAAAAGGCAAGAGGGAAACCATAACTGCATGCCAAAGCCCTGCTTCTTTTGTGTGTATGTGTGTGTGGGGGGGCGCACATGAACGACACATGTAGAAAAGGCATTTGATCATATGGCTGCACCTGCCATCTTGTCTTTTTTGAACCTCCTCTGCAAGCATTCCTGAAAGGAGAGCTGTCAGAAATGACTTGGATTCATCTCCACAAAATGTTTTGTACCACGGGGTTGACAGCACTCTCTTCTGTTGGTGACAAGATGGCCGGTCTTGGCTTGGGAAGCTGAACTGCTCTGAACACAAGAGTTTTTCTGGCCATTCACCGTCGTGGGGCTGAAATCTCTGCCAAGCTGTTGAGTCTGTTGGAAGAAGTCTGCAAGGAGAAGCCAAATGACGCAGCACAGCCAGATGTGTATGTGTGTGTAGGTGGGAGCATTGTGTTCCCAAGCAGATCAGAAAGGGTGCTTCATCTGAAGCTCTTTCTGTCCCTCAACCCCTCTCTTCTCCAAATAGGAATAAATTATTTTGCACAAGCAAGACAAATTAACATAAGACCATCAGAACCATGCTCTACAATGCAGGGGATGGAGGAGAATTCTATGGTGAGCCGCAATTCTGTTTGCGGGGGGGGGAGGAAAATGGGGAGGAAATCAGAGCACACGTACAGTCAGATTAGCAGGCTAGAAGAGAGAACTCACAATTGTCCCAATTGATACATTTCCTAGATGCAGGCAATGTTTTTTTTTTTTTTATGAGAATAGCTTGAAAAAAAGTAGTTTTTTTTCCAGTTTTTCAGTTTCCAGTTTCAGTCGGAAAGAACATGTTCCTTCTAGTCTTTCCATAAGTCTTGAGGGAAAAAACGGCATCTAGTGTGAACACCCCAGGCCTGTCCAAGCCACCATGGTCTTTATTGCTGTTATTTTCATTACTTTTCAGGAACATTTCCTGCTCTAGTCTTTCTACTGCTTCTTCATGTCTCACACTGAAACATTTCAACCAGATAATTCTTGTAAGTAGTCAACCACGTGGTTTTGCCCATTCTGTCTTGCCAGGTCTAGCGGGCTGTGGCCCCATCTGTCCAGCTGATCAAATCGAGCCCCCCAGTGGTGCAGGATCATTAAGGTGTCCAGGAATCCCTCCTGGGCCAGGTCATGGGCTGGCGTTGCACCTGTGGAGGGGTCTGGCCGGTTGGGATCTGCTCCTCTCTGCAGCAGCAGCTCTGCCATTCTGGCGCTTCCCATCATCATAACCTGGAGGAGAGAAAAAGTAAAAAGCTGAGTTTTGACTGGGCATGCTCGTCCTCTATACATTTCAGCTCCCCTTTTGGCAACAGCCACCTTACCTAGACCGTAACACTCTAGTCTTAACTGGAATGACTCTCATTTCAAGGTTTGACTTTTTTTTAGTCTCCCTCCACCTTCACACATGCATATAGTCCCCAGAGCACAACCCTAGTCTTTGAAACAGAATGAACCATGAGTCATATCTTTGGTCTTAAAACCTGCAATGGGATAAAAGATTGGAAAGAGAGAAAGTGGTGGTCCTTTTTGGTTGAAAGAAGCACCTCAAATGGCAAGGGTGGGGTGGAAGACTATTCTGAACACTTGCAGGCAGCCACTGAAATTAAATTAATTCCAGGAAGCTGAGGTCCTGCGTCTATTAACAGCAATAGCATAACGCTATGTTAACCTCCATCTTTCCTTTTGATCTCGTTTCCAGCCTAGGTCATTTTGCACCCCAGAACTCTTTTCCAATGAAATAGAAAACACGATTGCCTAGTGGTTAACCAATTTCAGTTATGCCTTTTTGACAGAACTTAGCCATCTGCACAGTCATAGAGTGATTTGTTGGGCTTTTTAAGGCCCTGATAATTCCCCTAGGGCATGTTTAATGGTGCCTGTTTTATTCATAATTGCACATTCGTGATAGATTTATCTTTCCCTATTTCTGAATTTCAGAAAGTCACACTGCAATTTGTCCAAATGGAATGTCAGAACAGAAATTGACCCTCTGCCTAGATTAAGTTCATGGGAGGTCTTCAAATTGCAGAAGGAAGCCTTGACTTCATATCCACATCACAGGTGTTCCAGCATCCTGAATGGAATGCATTTCCCCACTGGCTAATGATGTGCTAATGGGACAACAACTAAGTCAGAAGAGAAAACCAGTCAGCATGCCTATCACCTCTAAGGACCTGCAAATCTGGCAATGGGTATTACATCAGAGGTAAGACAGATTAGTGATGTTGGCACAAGAAGGATTCGTTAATGCCTTATATCATTAGTGGAAAACTGATATGAGAAACTGCCAATAAGGAACTTGGAACCATGTTTCTTCTTTCCTTATTGCTGAAGAAAACCAGGGTGTCTAGTTTTGATACTAACATCATATCCTGTAAGAGAAAGGGATGTCTCTCCAGTTCCATCCTGGCTTGTCTGAATGTGCAACCATTTATTTCTTGCATTACACAAGGGTCAGTGTTTTTTTCTCCCCTTTGTCAATGGTTAAAACTCCCAGAAATAAATAGATTTGCCCCATTTTTCTCTGGCCCCCTTTCCCTTCCCTTGTCACTACGTTTAGTGGGGATCCATCTTTTTTCTTTCTTTTCCTCCAAAGTAATTTATCTGTAAAATGAGAGAGTTATTTTTCATTTATTGAAAGTGTGATACTGGGACAGCTGAGATATTTTCTGTCTAGGCTTTCTTTTGTGGTAGCGATGGTGGGTATTACTTTAAATTCAGGATCATCTTTTTTTGGGATAAATATATTTATGTTTCAAATATATTTAAAATAATTTAAAATTATTTCAATTCATCTGTAATTCTAGATCTCTTCCTAGTAGAGTTTAGTTTAGTTATAACACAAATAGCACAGCATAGCATAAATGACATACCATATGTTATTATAAAAAAAACCTATGTATTTTGGAAACAAAGAGCTTCCTCTTTCAATCAGACTTGAATGTATCAAATAGCAATTGATAAATTATCAAAAGATGAGCTGTCAGTTATATTTTATTCACCAAAACTAAAATATAATACCTAGGAATCTGAAATAAAGTGTATAACTCCTTTTTCTGATGGATGTGATTGGTTCATGACAGCCTTATTTGTTGGAAAACGTCTTTGAAAAGAACCAATCTGGGTTAGTAATAAAGTATTATACTGACACTGGGCAATCTCAGGGTCAAGTACACCCTTAGCCTGATCCAAACAATTCAAATAAATACAATTTATTTTTGGTTAGCACTGAGAACATCTGGCAGTTACATATTTCTTTCTGATGTTCAACCTAAACAGATTCTGTACACCCATCCTACCACTCCTTCAGGAAAAGCTCTAAAAATGGAGGAACACACAGACACACACAGACACACAGACACAGGAGAGAGAGAGAGATGGAGAGAGAGAGGGAGGGAGGGAAAGGGGGGGTTATCAAGGTCCCTATCATCCTTATGATTTTGGCCTCATGTTGCCTACAGGGCATACTTTACAAGGGTTGTTTTCTGTACTATCCAGAGTTCATATGTTATACTGTAATTTCAATATAAATTGAATAAGCACACACACACACACACACACATACAGGATGCTGAGAATGCAAGGCATTAGGCTAGAAGTTCACAGTCACAATGTATCACAATTAGGATACATTGTCATCAATTTTCTTCAATATTTCTTTTTCTTTAACTTGGGGGAGTGGTTGATGTTGATAATGGCTTCACAGAAATTAATAAAGACAATCAAGACACTTTGAAGGATATTCCCGTTAAGAAAGCAGATCCCGCCTGTTTGGATGGATCCTGCTCTCCTGTTCCTAAAGAATCTGGCTTGCAGTCTCTAGGAGATTCAAGTTAGCATTTGGAGGCTTAAATGACAGCTGTAGCCAGGAGCTCCTTTATCCAATCTAAGCTGATGTGCCAACTGCATCTCTCCTATTCCTGGAGAGATCAGATTTGCTCTGGGTAATGCATGCCTTAAAGACAGCCAGGTTTGTGCTGTGGTTAAAGGCACCAGATTAGAAAATAGGCAATAGGCAGACTGTGGAATTTTAGTTCTGCTTTAGGTAATTGGGGGCCACTCACTGTCTTTCAGCCTTAGGAAAAGAGTAGTGGCAAACAACTCCTGAAAATGTGGCCAAGAAGACTGTAGGGTCTTGTCAAATCTGTCACCTGGAGTTAAAGTGGCTCCAAAGTAAATACACCAATGCTTGCCTTAGAGTCTATCTCCACTACTGTGTGAAGACACTGTCCTCTCTGTTTCCTATCATTGCAGTCTCCCTGGTAGTCGGTGGAAAGAAGCATGTGTGAAAGATTTTACACATTTCATATCTAGCCTTAAACTTGTGGGCTTAAGGGGGAAAATACCAATGTAGCAAGGAATGCTTAAATATGTCTCCTTTTCAGGTGGGTGTGGATGTAGTCAATGTCATGGCAACAGATGGGGGGGGGGAAAGGTGTTGTACTAAGTTTGTGCTTGTACTCAGCTGCAAGTGAGAAATGCCCTTAGTTCAATCTTATCAGATTGTTGCAATGTGTATCACAATATCTGGGGTTACTTCATCATAGTATTCAGAAGCCACAACTGGTACAAAATGCAGAATGCAGAAATTATTAATGGGCACATGGCCCAAATAATTACTGATCCTAAAAGGATTGGACGAACTATCAGTCAGCCTCCAGGCACAATTCAGTGTTAGTGACGCACATCAGAGTCCTATAGAAAACAGATAATGCCAGATGAAATAAGAGGCTACCTCCTTCCAAGGTTATTCATTTCCCTAACCCTTTCTCTAGAATAGATCACAACTGTGGCAGAGGAATTCTTGGTGTGACAAGAGAAATTGCTTTTCTGAGTCCCTGTCTCACCTATGGAATTCCCTGCCACAAAAGGCCAATCTGGTTGCTATTTTAATGATTGGATAAAAGTTTTCTCTTTGGGAAGAGCACAGACCACAGCACAGCTTATGCAAAATGTTACTTGAAGACGTTATCCTGTACGGGGCCTGCTCTTATTTTACAATATTTACTAGGTAAGCCTATTGTTAATCTCATTTTTTATTTCTCATTAATCCAGAATTTAATTTCAAGATCGAACTGAACCTTGTCCTGCTTTAAATAGCGGCTGGCCACCCTCAGCGATGCCTATGCATTAAAAATGTAGGGCGTACATTCACAAAAAAACATCATCTTGCCAAGTCCTGGACTGTTCTAGGATTGTTGCAAATATGGAAAGGTGGCTATAATTATTTCACTTGCTGCGGGTTCATTTTTATTGCTTATCTAAGGCCAGGAATAAGGTGACTTATGAATTCTTCTGTGTGGGTGCCCGATATGCTCTAACTGTGTTGCTTCATTTCAGGGAACAATTGTCCCTGCTCTAAGAAAATAGGAAAAAAAATAAGCGGCCTCCAGAATTGGCATCACAGAGAAGGCCCTTTCAAGAGAACCAGACAGGAGATAGTTGAAAAAGCAGTCGGCAGTTTGAGGTTTGGGAAAAGGTGTGGAGAGAGTAGAGATGAAAAGGCAGCAGGAGAATTATGAGTCAACAAAAAACAGACTAATTGGCCCACAGGCCGAGAGTGAAATGGGACCGGGCACAGAGCCATCCTTTTATCAAGATCAAATATTGACATTTAATGTTATAAAAGACTGATGCGTCTACAGAAAGTCTCAATAATAAGATGCCGCGCGTCTCTCTAAAATCTAAATGCAAAAGGGAAGCCGGATGGGCCAATACATTTTTTTGTCAAAGCGATTTGCGAAGACCGCTGGGAAACGGAGCCCATCCAAGTAACCACTTAACTCGAACCAGGCGGTTGTTTTTATTGAAGTGTGACCGCGCTGGTACTCCGATCGATGGCTTGCCCGGCCCGTCGTGCGTGCTGAGTCGTCTTGCATTTCAGCAAAACCGCGCCAAGGAAGCAATCGGACAGGACCAATCGCAAAGCCGTAGAGCAGGGGTAGGCAACCTTGGCTCTTTTATGACTCGTTGGACTTCAACTCCCAGAATTCCTGAGCCAGCCATGCTGAGGAGAAAGGGAGAGGTTTCCATGCTTAGCCATGGCTGGCTCAGGAATTCTGGGAGTTGAAGTCCAGCGAGTCATAAAAGAGCCAAGGTTGCCTACCCCTGCCGTAGAGTATCCGAAAAAGGGAGCGCTACATCTTCTGAAGGAGCAAAAGCCACGCGCGAAAACCGCGAAGGGAAGACAACGTTTGCTCCAGCGACCGGTGCCGTAGCCTAGCGTGTATAATTGGACTTAAGAGACTACAGGCTAAAATGGCGCTTAATCCGCTCCAGGGACTTGAAAGGAAAGCAGGTCGGGAGAACTTAGCCCCACGTGAAAGATACGGCTGCAGTTTGCAAGAACGGTTTTATCCAAAGTTTAAGTGAGAGAAAGCAAGCTCCTTTACGCGCAAGTAACAAGATTCAGGAAGTCCCTTTCGGTACCTCGCTCGTCCTAATGTAAACTTTAATAGTAGTACTAAGCAGGGATGGTGACCCCCATATTGGTTGAGGACGATGGGCATTACGGTCCAATGAGATCAGAAGGCGATATTTAAAGGCAGATACCCACGTGCAGCGAGTTCATGGACACCCTGCCTTATCGCAAGCACAATACCGTATCATCCCACGTATAATATCCGTCGGTTTAAACACGGCCTCCCAAAACCATGTTTTGTTTTGCTCTCAGTACCCTAACCCTAACCCCATAATCGTATCGGTATCTGCTGTTTGTTTGGTAACGGTCTACTCACATCGCCGAGTAGATAAAACAACGAGACACAATCTAATGGAAGGGAAGCATTAACTCCCATTGCCATGAAACAGGAAAACGGGAATACTGTACGTTTCTTGAAGCAACAGCGCTGATCGGAAGATCAGGGGGAAAAACCCCTCTGAACCAGCAGCGCTTCCAGACTCAAACTCTTTGCAGTTACTACCAAGATCGCCGTCTCTAGTTTGCCTTTGTCTGCAAATTCTCGAAGACATTTCAAGCTTTGAGTTGGCGAAAGCTGCTCGGGGGGGGGGGATAACTTTATCTAAAACTCTTAATAGGATTTCCCCCCCCCCGTTTGTTTTGGGAAACGTTTCTCTAATTAGCTCAAATTCTTTAAAAAAGCAAACTTTTTCCTTTTTTTCCCCCCCGGGAGGGGTAACGGTGTAGAGTAGACCGTATCCGTTGCAGAGCGATATCAAAGTCCTTGTCTATATTTGCGTCTCGGTCTTTCCAACTTAAGGCGGGCGGCGCAACCGGGGAAACGGACGCCGAGTAGAATCGTCGAGGCAAGAAACGTGGTGAACTTTTGGAAGCACAGAGACCTGTCAGACACACGATTTCTCGAAAATAATTTCCGTCTAGGCTTCATAGGTAATTTCCACCTGAGGAGTTCCTACCTTGCTTATTTAACGTTCAGGCATACCGCGTAAATGAGACAACATTCCTGCACTTTCGGTTTCCAGTAGGCATCAATAAAGAGACATAATCACCCCATTTAAGGGTCCTTATTTTTTTTTCTGGATCGCCTTAGCAGGTAGACTCAGGATCGCGCCACAGCTTGGAGGGAAACTTCTCGAGAGACGAAAAATTGGCTTGTGCCACCCAGTCAGTACCGCACCTGGATGACTATATTTCTTTATTTCTTCGCCTTCAAAGGGACATTTAACGACCCGCGATCTCCGCAATTCTTGGGAATAGAAATCTCAGTATTTAATGGGGGGGGGGGAGGGGGGGAGAAGGCCGCCGTGGATCTCCAAGGCAGTGAAATAGTGCCCTAAAACCCGAGTTTATAAATCCACAAAGTTCTCCGTGCGAACAGGATCGTAAAGGAAAAATAAAGGAAAATCACCCTCCGAGACACCCTTTACCTCGTCATGCCCCCCCCCCCACGTTAAATCTGTTTGCTGCAGTTCGGTACAGGAGTAGATGAATATGGGATTTGTAACTAGTTCCAGGTTTTAGTAATGTGGATTGTTTTATAATAATGCTTGATTATCGAGGAGGGATTCGAATCAGTTAAAGAATAAAGCGAGAAATAGCCTTGCGTTGTTCGGCTCGAACGCAACCACTTTTTTAAAAAAACAAACAAATAAATCAGACCACCCAGCCTTGAGAAGGGAATATATCCTCTGATGTGAACCTCTGAAAAAAAAATGTATTATGTTTTTTTCCCTGGCCTATGACGATTTTTATTTTTCACATTTTTGAACTGCCCATTTCACTCAGGGAGGAACTCTGGGCGGTATACAATAAAATGTCAAAATATAAAAACACCCTGTAAAAATTAAAAATGTAGAAAGAGGCAAGGATGATTAAACCTCGTTAAAATTAGTTAAAAAGGTGATATATTTTATATATCTATAAATCTATATATTACATCTATTATATATCTAGAAACATGTATATGTATATGCTTTTTGCTTTTGAAATGTACATATTGCCCTTCTACTTTATTTCCCTTTTACAAGATATCTTATGTTCCTCATATAAAATATCTAATTTGATCAACTGGCAAAAATGAATTAGACTATACTAGCTCGTGACTGGTATATCCTTCTTGTGAAATAGTTTTAATAATTATTTGGTAAAACGGATGGGGGGAGAAAAATATTTAATATTTCCTCTTTTTTTTATTCCTGCCCTTTATTTTCTTACTTGAATCCACAAGAGAGGAAATATATACATAATGCTGAACAATGTTGATTTAAGTTTGTGGATATAGTCTCCTCCCTGGTCAGGGCTTGGACAAATGTTTCTCCTCAAATTTGAAGCAGTATCCTACTGTCTTCCCCGAAGGGGGTAAAAAAAAAAAAAGAGAAAAACAATAAATATCCTATATACAGTCCTAAACAGAACTTCTGCTTCATCTATTTAGGAGCAGCGTATAGTGTGCTTTCAGGGCTGCTGACTCGGCACAGTAGCCATTCCTGTGGTTCCTGAATTAATTATACAATCCAGATGACTTTTAAGTGGCAGCCAAACGCTACCGAGGGACTGCGCGTGTGGAAGAGTGGGTAGCAGGGAGACACGGGGAAAGGAATGGAGAGGTCGACAGACTTCTCAGGGTTCCTAAAGGTCCCTCTTGGGCTGCAAGCTCTTTACGCTGAGCCCGGAACCTGAGTAAAACAGCTTTCGAGTTAAGCTCGAGGCGTCTATATACCCCGATCAGTGTGACAGGGCTGCAGTTTTTGAGCAACCGCGGTGGAAACAGACACCAGAAGGCAAGTCCTCCCCCCCGCCATGACTTCACGGTAGACCCTCAAAGCCAAGAAATGTTTGAAGCCCAGCATGCTGAGCGACTAGTCAGTGGAAACTGCAGCCCCCTCCTCCTTTTATAGGTCCAAGAAGGTCCCACCTGAATCGGAGTCCGGCCGAAGCCGTTGATGGCATTGGGGTCCGCCCCGCTCTCCAGCAGCCCCGCGACTGTCTCCAAATCTCCGCGGGCAGCAGCGTTGGCCAGCTGATTCGCCTGACAGTTGTCTCTATTTGGCGCTTCCATGTTTGATTCAGCGGTGTCTCTAGGGCGAGCGCCAAGTCGGTGCATCTGCCAGCCGGCGGGTCCGTCTTTTTCCCAGTCCTGCAAGGATTCACGAGCCAGACTTTGGCTTCCTCTTCGTCGTCCCCTTCGGACAATTTCCTCCCCTAGGAGGTCGCCGTCGTCTTCGCCTGTTTTTTTCCACCGATCTTCCTTTCCTTTCTTAAACGCAACAGCGAGAAAGGCTGCCGGATTTCATCGGCTGAAATTTAATTCTCCGGGGCACGACCGTCTGAAGACTTCCACTAGCGCCCTCGCTCGGTAGCTAGGGAAACAGGCGGCGACTGAGCTGCGGGGGCGCATGCGCTCGGTAAATGCCGGCGGCTGCTGTCGAACTTCGCGGAGAATGCTGGAATCCCTGTCCTGAATGGAACCTCCGCCCTTCGGTGCGTCTTTAGAGCTGCTCTGTGTTGCGCGCGGAATGTGGGGCAGAATTCTGGATTCGGGGATTCTGCTTCTTCCTATTGGGCGATGGTTTTGAGCGCGGCTGGGAAAAGGCCCCTTGCGTGACGTAAGACGTAGAAGACCCGTCTCTGTTATTAAATAACAAAATAAAGACACTTTGGCACCTTTGCTCAGAAGTTAAATCGGCCTATGCTTTTTCCGACTTGTGTGCGGTTGTTGCCCAGTTAATTGGGCAGAAAATGGGTTAGAGCAGTGCGCTCCCTTATGGTTAGAAATGGTACAGTCCACAACACCACCCTGAAGCCTATGAGCAACCCGTCTTGGAGGCTTTGGCTACCTGCGTATGTTTACGAGTGTGCCCGCGGATATATGTGCACGCCCTGCTTCCTTTGTCTCCCAAACGCTAAGTGCAATTTGATGCCGGGCTGTCGAGGGTTAAATTCATTCAGTCCGACTTTAAGCTGAAAAGGAATGGCAAAGACCCATTTCATGGGGGGGGGGGAGACAGGCGAGCTAGCAGCAGACAGACGATTTGATGCTATTTCGCATAGGTTCAATAGCGAGTTCGTCATTTTTTTTTTTTTTTTTTTTTTTGTAGCGGGCTGTGACCGAGTTCACGCAGGCTGCTAGAATAGGCTGTGTCGCGTGTGATAGGAGAACCCAACCTTTGGCTTGATATATTGGGTGAATCTGTTCAAAATGGGGAGGGGAAGGATTTGGGGGGGGGGGTTTCAGGCAGAGCACTTAAGTCAGGGGTCTTCAAACTTGGCTCTTTTATGACTTGTGGGCTTCAACTCCCAGAATTCCTCAGCCAGGCATGCTGACTGAGAAATTCTGGGAGTTGAAGTCCACAAGTCATAAAAGAGCCAAGTTTGAAGACCCCTCCTGACTTAAGTTAATTCTGTTTTGTGTGCCTGGGAATAGCATGACATATTTATGTTTTGTATGGGAAAGAGTCTGTTGTGAACATAGGTAGCTCCCTCAGAAATACATCCCAATTTAACGGGTCCGTCTTCGGGTGCATTCCAGTAGGAACACCTGAAGTACCCCAAAGCATGTGATTCAGAGATCAAATAGAGCAGTCCCACACAGTTCCCACCCTTCCCCACTCTTCAATCCACCCTCTGGAGCACAGAGATAGTTTGCACAAACAGTCATTTATAAGCCCATCCAAATAAGAAAAACATTAACATTACCATTGCAACAGCTAGCCAGTTCTAGAGAGACATTCTTGGATTCCTTAGAGTTTGATGGTCCACTGTGGAAACAAGGATATAAACAAACTCGCTTTTCTAATGACCTCATCATCTCTGCAGGCTCCAGTCTGAACGTTTGTTTTCAAGGGACCAAATTTGGACTTCCTGTTATATCTATAAGAAGGATCTCAGGACAAGTCCAGGCTTGCTGTGCTGATGAACTTCATAGTCAGCCATCTGTCTGGAGCTGTCAGATGACTATAAATATACAGCATAACCTTTCATTGGGACTGTTTAAGCTGTTTTTTTAGGGAACATTTTTATTTATTTTCATTTTGGCCAAAGACTATGCTTCTTTTAGAGATAATGTTTTGGGACAGGTGTATGTGACAAAACTGTGCAGGGGTATAACCAGAGCCCAAATGGAGTGGAATGGAATAACTGGGGTATTTTTCCCTCTCTTCCTCTGTTTAGCAGAGTGCAGAGGGAAAGACTCATTCAGATTAATGCTTTGCTCAGTTTCATTAAAACTGTCATCAATACCTCCCCACACAATAATAGCCTTTAAAATAAAAGTTAAGGGCCCCTTCACTCTCTCTCTCTTTTAGATATATCCTACTGTGGGAAGTCACCCCCCCCCAGAGAAAGAAATATTTTTGGAAATATTTAAAAGGCAGAATATATTTCCCTAAAGGATTTTAAAAGCAGAAACCAACCCCGCCCCCAAGTCTCCTTGTCCCAAACAGAAACCAAGTCTGCAGAATTGCAGATGTGATAATCTTGTCAGAAAGACTGGAGTCAGGAAACTGGGATTAGGAAGAAAGATCCCTAGAATCAACAATCCCTCAGACCAAAAAATCCAACACTCATCAGCCACAGTCCCAGGGAAGCAGGATATGACTTTAGGACATAATAGGACTAACCCACCACCATCAGAATACCAGAAAGGCACACTCAGTCTCAGGTCAAAGTTCATGCCACAGGAACAGCTCCAAACAAAAGGCACCAGAGGGTGTAAAAACCCACTCCCTACATGTGCTCACTCTTCTTTTCTTCCAGAGCCATCTTTCTGTTTGGCTCTCCTTTTCAATAAACTGCAACCTTCTTTCTAAAGCAGTCGCCATGTTGTTTGTTTCTGACTTGGACTGAACCATGATGAAGACTTTTCCTTCACCACTACACATCATTATCTTTTTGGCATTCAATTAAGCCTGATTAGCACATGCTCACTTTTTTTCACCTTTTCTATAGATAATCAAGATACATGTGTGTTAGGGGAAAAAAAAAAGATCTGTTCTGGACCTGATAAATGAGCATAGGATGTCTGCTTGAACTGGAGATAGAATTTATTTGACAGCAAGACCAATAATCCTATTAATCTTCCTGCTCTTGATGCTAATAAAAGACACAGAAAGTGTCTTTTAAATGGGGGTCCCATTATCCCCACAAGTCTTTTATTTCTGGTGGCTTTGTTCAGTTCGAAGGTTGGAAGAGAGTTTCTAGTATCCTCTGGTCAGTTTCTGAGTCTCTGATGAGCTGGCTAGGAGATATTCAGCAAGTTGTATAGGTCTCATTGCTGTTGTCCATTACTTTAGGCTTCACGTGTAACCAGTGAATTCAGGTGTCTTGCCTTGTTACTTTAATGGTAGTCTGGATTGTCAGAAAGACCTGGTAGGGTCCTCTTCACCTGGGCTGCAATGGGGAACTCCTGGTGAAGTTCTGACTGGACCCACACTCAGTCCCATGCTTTGGATCAGGGATCTTCAAACTTGGCTCTTTTATGACTTGTGGACTTCAATTCCCAGAATTCCTCAGCTGGGCACGCTGGCTGAGGAATTCTGGGAGTTGAAGTCCACAAGTCATAAAAAGGCCAAGTTTAAAGACCCCTGCTTTGGATGCATGTAAAACTTCCCCTAGCCACGACAGGGTTTGGTCTGAGCATTCTTATCTCCATAGTCAGGCCAATTATTGGTATGTATCCCAAGTAAGTCACCTCCTGTGTAAGATATTGTAACTTGGTAAGTGTCACTTTTTGCCCTCTGTCAGCTAGACTAGACAGCAAATGGTGGGCATCGGTGTGACAGTCATCTTGATAGGGTGAAGCCAGCAACAGGTCATCTGTGTACTAGACAAGGATGGAGCCACAAGGCAGGGAGAGAAGAGGCAAGGCCTGCTTTTAGGATTTGTGAAAAGAGAGCGGGTGATTTGATATACCCCCAATCAAATCAATATGTCCATGCATATTGCTGACCTTCCCCTGTGAGTGAATGTGAAAAGATATTATGAAGCTGGGCCTATGGGGATGCTGAAAAAAGTGGCACAGAAGTCAATGACAGTGAATTAAGTGGTGGAAGCAGGAATCATAGGCATGATTCTGGCTGAGTTTGGCACCATGTGGGATGATGTAGGATCATGAATGAAGTAATAAGTTGGCTACCTCACAGCATCTTTCTTAGGTTTTCTCACAGTGAAGATTCAGGTGTTGCAAAGGGAGGTATACCTGTGCAGGACTTCCTGTACCAGATAGGCTTTTGTCAGTCCTTGGATTGGTTCCACTGCCTCAGCAATCTGGATTTGACTTGTATTACAACAGGGATTGCACTTTTTAGGAACCCATCTTCCATGAAATTCCAACTTCATAGAATGGCAGGAAGGTCTTTGGAGGTCAGGAGGGATTAAGCAAGATTCATCTGAAAAATGTGTGATTAAGCAGTGCATGGGGTGATGGGGCCATCTAAAATGAAGCTAATAGGAGTACAGTTATCGTGGCATCAAATTTGCAAATTCCTACCCATAAGGGTCAAGGGGGACTGGAGGCAAATGGTGAAGGATGGCCTGTTGAAAGGGTCCCTAGTTCTCCCTTCATCTCATTTGTAAATTCCACTGGTATTAGTTTACACCCCTCCCCAACCCCGATGATGTCACTTGTGCCTGGCACAACAGAGCCCTTGAACGGACGACAGGTGATGAGGGACACAGTAGTGCTAATGTCAACTACAGTAGTGGCCAAAATTGTGGAAACCTTTTGGGAAAAGTGTACAGTAGAAATGCCACCTTTGGTTAAGTTTCCACCAATTTTTCTTCTAATTTCTTTATAACTGTAGCCTTGTTCACTTAATAATACTATTTTACATCGCTTTCTGGGCAACCAGTCAACTCTTTGCACCATTACTTTAATTTTATTATGTTTTACAACAGTGGTTGTCAACCTTTTTAATGCCGCGACCCCCCAACCGGTCGTAAGTCGAGGACTAAACCAGTCGTAAGTCAAGGACTACCCAACTGGTCATAAGTTGAGGACTTTCCCGGGAGCGCCGCACATGTGTGGTGCCGCCCCCTGCGCCGGCCGAGGCGTAGCTGGCAAGCGGCAGAGACAGAGCAGGATGACCACCGGCTGGGCCACCAGCTGGCCCAGCCCAAGGGAGGTAAGGCACCCTCCGGAAAAGGGGGAAAAATGGTGGACAGCCTTGCTTGGCGACCCCCATGAAATGGTCGATTGACCCCAAATGGGGTCGCGACCCATAGGTTGAGAACCGCTGTTTTACAAGCTCACTAAATGAAAGAACACAAAAAACCCCCAACCAACTTGATAGCGATCACATAATACACTGACAAATGTCCTCCTCTCAGCTTCAATACATGACATCAATAACTGAATCCTAGTGTGATCTGATTGGCTCATTGCCAAGACAAGATGACACCTGACTGGCTCTCTAAACACTCATGCTCATTGGCTACAATCAGAGGAAGGAAAGCTACCTGATATCAACTTAAGCAAGTTGTGCTTCCTTTTTCTGGTTATTTGGCTATAACTTTTCATAGAACACAGTACAAATAATTGAACAAACTTTGTTGCATTACATTCTTGATTAAATTATCTTTCCATTGATATATAATTTTATGGTACTCCTCCAAAACAAAAGTGGTGTGATTAGCCATCAAACCGCAAAAATACACTTTTCCCAAAAGGTTTCCACAATTTTGGCCACTACTGTAGATAGTCATAAGATTTCCCCCTCTTGTGAGTGTTATTAGGGGTTCACCTTCAGGACCTTGCTTCAGAGCGATTGCAAGTCTGGTGAACAGTGGACTGGTCTTTGTGCCTTTAGTGGCTAGTCACTGTGGTTCCGTAATGTAGAATATTTCATCATATTGGGTCTGTGAGGACTGAGTTGGGTCTTGGAAAGGAGGATAGTTCATCACATGTGGTGGGTGACATCTGGGGTGGACTGGAGACTATGGTTGGCGGTGCTGGGGCTGAGACTAGTTGTGGAGGTTTTCTGTGCAGTCTTTCTTGAAATGTCCAGATAGCAGATGACTAGACTTGGGATTTGAAGGGTCAATTTTTCCAGGACTCCTGCAGGGCTGCGCATAAGCCTTCCTTCCTTTCCTCTCTCCTTTGTTTCTTCTCT